CCCAGGGTGCAAAGCCATGGGGCCAGAAAAATGGGGCAGCATGCACCCCCCCCCCCAAGATTTCTGCCTTCCATTTAGCACAGAGGTTTTTGAACTGTGGGGCACGTCTCCCTAAGAGAGGGTGCACCCAACGATCTGAAAACCATTGCCTTCTGCCAGGAGCTGGTGGATTGGAAGCTGGTAGGAGCTGTCCGGCTCACTCAGGCCCCTGGCTCTCCATGCTGTGGGAGCTGGGGTGCTGTCTGTCTGCCTGGCAGCCCTCCCTGCCCTGCTCCCCAAGCCGGCCTGCCTCTGCACAGCTGAGCGTTCCCCAAGCAGGGCGGGTGGCCCAGTTCCGAGCTGCACCGTGACACGCCCTTGCCTCTCCCCCGAAGGAGCCCGGCACCAGCCAGCGCTGCCCCCTGGAGCCGGCTTCTGCCCACGGAGCCCAGCTGCCAGGAGAGGCTCCCCCAGCTGCTCACTCACCACTGCCCTGGTGCTCCTGCTCCTCAGCCCAGAGGAGACGTGTGGCGTAGTCACGTGCCCCCGACAACCTGGTAGTAATGCTCACTGCGGATCCCAAGGGCCCCAGATGGAGTCTCCGGGTACACACCCAGCAAGTGCATTCACTGGAATGGGAGCCATGCTAAACTGTTAATCCCGCACTTTTGTCCATTTCCACACGCTGGATACATCAGATCAGATGAATTCCTGGTGTAATCCCCATGGAGCTCCAGCCGGGCCGCATCAGGGATGGATCTGATTCAGCGCCAATAATGAGTCACATGTTTCCCAATCTCCAACGCAGCCTCTTGCACGTTTTAACTACTGGACACAATAACGATTAAAATATCAGTGATCGGTCTCTACTCACCTTTTCTGGGCCTGGGAAAGTCTCTGTAGCGCAGGGTGACTTCTGATCTCGGATAGTGACAGATTTACCTTATATAGATGGTCTGTCCCTCCCCTTTGGGAACTCAGTGACTGCATCCATGCTGACTTCGTTATCGAATATTCAAACTTCATACAACTTCTGTTATGTGGCTTCTCTGTCAAACAACGTTTCTAGTCTTCCCCATTTCAAGGCACAAAGGGTATTTCCCATGCAAGGCTGGGCCACTGCAGAGGCCGTGCTGCAAATTGATTGTAGATAATGAATAATCAGACAACATGAATGATCACATACATAATTCTGAGTTCATCTAAAGCCTAAGCCAACACCAAGTGATGTCAGAGTCCAGCCATTGGCTTGAAAGGCAGTTGTATCAGACCCCTGAAGATGCAAGAAGCCTGAGAAGGGTAGATAATGAACAGCCATCTTGCTAGTAACATTAGGCTCCTCCTGCTGCCCCAGTTCCCTTACCCATCCCTAAATCACGTGGCACTTGTGCACTGCGATACAGTTTTCAGAAGGGACAGTGGTAGAATTCCTTCCTGATTCTTGTCTTTACCAGCTTATGCCCTGAAGCATGAAGTTTGATTTCTCTCTTATTCGCTTTGCTTGCTAGAGTTAGTGACCATGCAATCATCTAGACTGCCACTACATTTCACAGCCAACATCTGTTGACTTTGACCGAAGGTTGTTAAGCTGTTCCCCTCTGCATTGGCCATCTGATGGATAAACAGTAAGACACGGAAGAGTCTAAAGATTCTTTGATGCACGAACAGGCCAGGTATTTTATGTGAGTACAAGTAATGAGGCATAAAAGTCAGAAATGGATAGAAGAAAAATAAAGATAAAGTGCTCACTAGTATCTACCTAAGAAGCTATCTTAGTTGCAAAGCAAAGTGTCTCACCACATACTCCAGCAAATTCCTGACCAAACTCTTCGGTCAGGAACCCTCCCCCCAGAGTCTAACACCTGTTTCCTTTTGTCTTCTCAGGTGCAGAGGATGATGTGGGCAGGAGGAGAGAGACAGACAGAGGGGCCTTGGGTGTTTCTCCCTCCTTTCTAAAGTTTCAGTCCCCTTCTTGAAAAACATTTCTAGCTCAGACCCAGGAGACAAGTCTATGAGGAAGGATATTCCCTGATGGGTTTTTTTCACCTGTTTAAACTTCCTTTGTTTGCCCTCTCTGCTTGACGAGGACATTTACTGCTCAAATGCAAATTAAGGCAAACACACATTCCTTCCTTTGTTTAGGACAGACCGGACTGTTGCCTGGGCAGGGCCGTGGGGTTTGGAACGTGTGTTCATAACATCACACTGCGGAATCTTATAATTTCACATACGAAGTTGCCAGTGCCAGGCATATTTTACCAGACAACAATGACCAGCAAATTAGGAGTTTTCAATTGATACCCCCCGAGGCATAGTTTGTTCACAGGTTATTCTGATTGTGTGCAGGGTGTGAATACAGAGGTGCAGTCTGTCACAGTAGCCTCTCTGATGTTCTCCCTAGGGTCTGCAGCCTGAAATTCAAGCTTCAGAAGAATTCACTTTGTACAGTCTCATTAATGATCTGGAGGATGGTGTGGACTGCACTCTCAGCAAGTTTGCAGATGACACTAAACTGGGAGGAGTGGTAAATACGCTGGAGGGTAGGGATAGGATACAGAGGGACCTAGACAAATTAGAGGCTTGGGCCAAAAGAAACCTGATGAGGTTCAACAAGGACAAGTGCAGAGTCCTGCACTTAGGACGGAAGAATCCCATGCACTGCTACAGACTAGGGACCGAATGACTAGAAAACAGTTCTGCAGAAAAGGACCTAGGGGTTACAGTGGACGAGAAGCTGGATATGAGTCAACAGTGTGCCCTTGTTGCCAAGAAGGCTATCGGCATTTTGGGCTGTATAAATAGAGGCATTGCAAGCAGATCGAGGGACGTGATCATTCCCCTCTATTCATCATTGGTGAGGCCTCACCTGGAGTACTGTGTCCAGTTTTGGGCCCCACACTACAAGAAGGATGTGGAAAAATTGGAAAGAGTCCAGGGGAGGGCAAGAAAAATGATTAGTGGGCTGGCGCACATGAGTTATGAGGCGAGGCTGAGGGAACTGGGATTGTTTAGTCTGC